CTACAATATTTAATTCCTTGGGTAATTTAGGTTTACTAAATAATAGTTTAATACCTAAACCTTTTCCCTTGACTGGTATGGAGGTCACTTTACCTATAAATGAGGCGTATGGTGGATTAAATCCTGATGAATTAGTGGAATATGCGTTTAAACCTGCTGACTTTAGATTATTTTATGATGAAAATAATGTTAGGAACATGTCTCTTTTATGGTCTCAAGCTGCTGCTTTAATTGGAAGGAAAAGTAGAACTTGACTATTATATTCTTATTAATATTTATTCTTTTTTAAGAACAATCCTATTTCTATCCTCATAAAATTCATTTTTTTAAAAAATTGTAATATTTTGTTATATATAATTAAATAAAATCACAATACAGTTTATAAACAAATATTGTACTTGATACCTACGACACAATATTGTCTCATCGTAAGTATTCAAAGTGACATAATTTATAATTATATGTGTTGTAGCGTTTCAATGTTTTAAAGTTTTTCAGTATTTTAGTGAAATTTTTATGTGATATATATAATGAGGAAGTATTTTACGTGTTAAAGCAAAATATTTAAATGGCATCTATAGTATTTGAGTGACGAAAACTAATTTCACCTACAAAATTGATCTCAAATGATTAATACTGATCAAATATGTGTAAAGTTCGCTTCGATGTGATTGAAAAATAATCTGGTGGTACTTAAAAAAACTTTTTAAAAAAGAGAGAGATGATGTGTTCTAGAAATAATCAAGTAGAATCAGATCTTCAGGGTCGAATCCGATAGGGTGAAAGTTTCAATTTCAGGTTATCCCAATTTAATTGCATCGTATTATTTTTTAAACACTTATAACGACATATGTCATTTTATAATTTGAGAATGACACTACTGTATATTAGGAAGATTGATCAGTTCGACCTAGCACTGACACGTATCATATTGCAACGTTAAGAAACAAACTTAATATGGATGTTTTTGTATCAAGTATCTGGTATTGTGTACCATATGACGTACGTACGTGTATATTTCTAATTGTACATTTCTATTTATGCATTTCAATTACGTGTATCATTACCGACCAAACATTAATTACTGCGTATAAAAAAATTGCAAAAAAGTGTTAATCCACGTATACGTACTGTATACCCGATTACAGGATTAAGATAAATCCACGTATACTGTATAACCAATTAAGATTCTATGTCACAGCTTAGTAAGATCTTTGTGCAAAATTACTGCGCAGCAGCTGTGTCTTAAATATCGTAATTTACATTTATTATATTAAGTAATTTATTAATTACGCAGCCTATGTTAAACTATAGCTATAAGGTCAAAGCTTTAAGAAATGGCTTTTTATTTTAATGTAGCTATAGAGCATTTAATACAGTATTACTGGTTATCACTGTACTATCTCATAAATATTATTAAGAAATAAACCATTAATCAAAGTAAATAACTAAACCAGCTTATGTTACATAGGACTTTACATGCGTATAAAATTTCTATATCTGTTTAAATGAATATGTATATTAAAGATGAGCAATAAAAATAAAAATAGAGGTTATATAATTGTAGAAGAAGGAAAACTATTTTTAGATATGCCACGGAAATATATTTTAAATAAGCTTGTAAAAAAAATGCGACCGCTTTTTTAACCAAATTTCTAAAAATCATTTATTTGAATTATTTGATAAATCTAAAATAAACATGAAATCTTATGTAATATTTTTTTGTGCTCGTGATTTCTTCTGCTATAAATGTTCAGTCATATGTGATTCAACGAAAAGATCCTGCTTCTGATGGATGCGCCAGAATTTATAATAGATTTATTACAAAAAAAACCAATAATTTTAGTTATGCAGACGTTAAAGACTGTTATGAAGGAATTCCATTTAATAACACAATTGCTTCCGAGGTATGTTATTATATATATGCATATAAAAGTAATTATATTTTGATCATAACATGTATGCTGAAATTACAGATAATCGAAACAATAATTAGACTACTTGATGGATTCTATCCATTTTTAAATAAAGCAAAAGAGCCACCACAACCTGGATTTAGCTTTAAATCAATGGATATATTAGCTGCATTAGAACGTTTGAAGAAAGAATTTATACAATTTTATAGTAATTCATAATCTAATTTCTTTGATTTTTTTCGCATTTATCACTTTTATTTTTACTTTATTAATAATATTTTTTTTTTAATAGACCAGTGTTAAACATTTGTTTTATGATATGAAAGAACCGCATACATTATTTAAAGCAGATTGTTTTTCGACATTTACTTTTCACACAAATATTACATTATATTCCGTTGTTAATGATGATGGTGAACAGGTGACTTGTGATTATAACTTTTATTATTTATGTTTTACTTGATAATGAATATATTAATTAATTACATATTTTTTTAATAAAAATTTTATTAGAAAATTAAAGTCTTTAATGATACTATTGACTCATCTAATGTTGACTGCGAAGTAACTCATATTAATGGTCGTCAGGCAATTAGTGTGATTCTTGAATTTGCCCAAGATTCAGTTTTTTCATCAAGAGATATTGGCGTGAGATTTAATACAGCACTTGATCTTGTTTATTTAGAATATTCTTTTTCTGTACGAACTGAATTACCAAGAGCACCAAGTATAATTTACACACTTAAATGTGATAATCAAGCCAGAAGTTTTAATGTTACAAGAAATTGGATCGCTTTTAGTACTCCCTCACTTTTAAATAGATTCCATAATTCAAAAACCTATTTTACTAATATATGCAATGCTACGAAAGAAAATAAACCAATATCTTACAGTCATGGACTTGGTGAAATTAAAAGATCATTTAATAATATTCATAATATAATAGCAAAACAAACTGAAAGCATAGCTATTATAAAACTTATTGATGATTTTATTGTCTTTGTTAAAGAACAAGACTTTGGTGTTGTTATAATCTTGACAGAACATTATGCCAATGTGCAAAACAAAGATGGTAGCATTAATTTCGCGTTGTTAGCTAATATAATTCAAGGATTTAAAGATTTAGCAAATACAGGCGTTAAAAAGGCAAGTAATTAAGTAATTTTTTTGTATATTCTTTTATATTATACATGTACTTTATATTTATATTTATTCATTTATTTATTTATTTATTAAAGATTGTTCTTGACTTGTCAAATAATCTTGGCGGATATGTTTTAATTACCGTGTTTATCAATTTGCTTTTATTCCCTAACTCATATCCTACTTTCAATTATGATTTTCGGATTACTGAACCAATGAGACTCGCAATTACCGAACAATTTAAACTTGCAACTCCAAATAATATTTTTGATATGAGTGATTATGCTAATGCAATAGCTCATGCTAATTTCACGAGTGCTAATGATATTTTCGGCAATAATATTTTTAATCGTGGTGGAATTATTGAAAATTATTCAAAAAAACTCGCTATTGCTGAAGTTTATTTAGATCTTTTTAGCAAATTTATTCAAAACTTAACAACCCCACTTCCTTGGAAACCTGAAGATTATATTATTTTAACGAATGGTTTATGTGGATCTGCATGCGCAATGATCGCTCAACATGCTGTTGAATTTAATAATGTGTCTACTGTATCAGTTGGTGGAATTGCAAGTATTCCCTTATTATCTTATTCTTCATTTCCTGGTGGTTTTGTTACTACCTCAGATGAAATATTAAATTCCTTAGATAAATTAGGATTGCAAAATAATACAATAATGCCTAGGCGATTTCCTTTAACAAGAATGAACCTTTTTACTGAAACTTATAGTAAACTAAATTCTGATAAATTATTAGATTATGAATTTAGACCAGCTGATTTTAGATTGTTTTATAATGAAAAAAATATTAGAAACATTACTTTATTATGGTCTCAGGCCGCTGCTTTAATTGGAAAAAAAAATTAAAAATTATGTTTAATTTATTTACATTATATTTTATGTTACCTCTATAATTAAAAGTCGTATAAATTTACTAAATTCATAATTCATGTAAACTGAATTTACTAAATTCATAATTCACGTAAAATGAATTTACTAAAATTCATAACACTGTGTATAAAATAATATTAGTAACAGTGAATACATTTTATTCCAACAAACTTGAAAATCTTGCCATACCTATTAACAGTAACGAACAATTATGATTTCTTTTGAATTATATGAAGTTCACTAGCTTTCAATTCTTTCACATAAGATCGTAAACAGTAATATAAATACGGCTAAATTTGAAATTAGACTTGTTAAAATTAATTGGCCATTTGAGATTTGAAATGTGAGATTAAAATTGTTAAAATATTACTAACACTTGGCAAGACTCCTAGGATTAATGAAATCATCCACAGATACATGTTGAACTCTGTATATGTATTTTCATACATTTGTATTACAAAACGTTTCATGTAGGTGCCAATATTATAATAGTTGAAATAATATTCTTGACATTTTATACCAGCATATTCATAAATACTTATGAATACTATATTTGATATTAAAAAGTAAAAATTTTCAAAGACAAACATCCCGACAAGTATTTGCATAGTCTTGGATGACGATTTGTAAGTGATCAAGAAAATGCCTTGCCACAAAGCAATTGAAACTATTATCATACTTCTACCAATCCATCTAAAAATGCTATCATATTGTATAGCATTATTATACTCTATATTACATATGTCAAATGTAAAAGTTAAAATTTCGTGAAACAAAATATTATGATCATAATTAATATTCATTACCTCTGTGATATCCAACTTTTGAAGCAGCGAAGGAGTATTTTGAAAATGCCATGATATATCCACTAAACAACATCCATATCATTATCCATAAGATAGAAATGTATGATCCACATCGATATGAAAAAATCCTTTTGACAAATAAAAAAAAAATCATGAATCATTAACAATTTTATCATTCAAATAATTCAGATAGATGAAATCTTCAAATACATACGAAAATTTTTTGATCTTTTGCTTTTTAATATTCTGTTCACTATTGTTTTCCTTACTATCACTCTTAACGTTAAGGTAATTATTTCTCTTATAAAGTAGTGCTCCAACTGTGATAGCTGCTGCGGTAAATATCATTGCAGCTATTCCTTTAGCATCCAGCCCTTTAACATCCAACTCATTAAGAAAATTAATATTTAATGGAAAAGGCTTATTCACAGACTCAGTAGGCATCATTTCATGAACAGATGAGTTGAAAGTTATTGTTGCTCTTGATGGTATTGTTGCGCTTGATGTTATTGTTGCTAATGTTTTTGATGCCGAGGTACTAATATCCACAAACATATTTAAAAA